GAAGGGATTTTTGTATTTTGAGATGGAGATCTCTTGTGATTTAAAGCAAATGTCCCACTGAAAGCAATTCCAGTATCAACAGAATTATTTCAGGTTAAAACTGACTTTTTGTGTGTTTCCTTTTTGATTTACTGTAATGAAATAGATGGATAATTTATAGAAGAAATTTGTGTGACACGGCCTCTTAACACCAAATGGCATATTCTTGAGCCACAGTGCACGACTGCCTGACCAGATTCCCCTCAGCTCAAATACTCATTTTCAAAGCACAGAGGCTGTCCATCTGCTCTGAAAAGTCTAGGCAGATGTTGACACTGGGGCTTCCTAAGGAATCTGCTGTCTGCTGAAGCCTGGTACCCAGTGCATGGTCCTTAGACAGCTGAATTGGCTTCTCAGAATCCTCCAGAAGGAGAGTCTGAAAAACACATTCTTTTAGAGTCTCAAAAAGCATCCTAAGCATCTCATTTTCTCTTCAGAGTGAAACAACCAGAAAAAAATCTTCCTCTAGACTCAGCTGCCTCTGGGCAGGCTGTCTTGTTGCACACCAGTGGAGACTGTTTCAATGAAATGAGTTGCCGTAGATATAAACCATGTGATATCAGCTGCCCAGTCACGCATCAGGCTGATGTTTCAGTACCAACTGGGACTTGGGGGTGAGGGAAGCCTTAGCATTCAACTATCAAATACTGGGTTTTCCCACTGGAAATTATACATTCCAGATTAGTCTTCATTAGAAAGTATTAGGGTCCTGTCCCTTTATTCCAGAAATAGGGAGTCCTTCTGTATGATCCAGATGCCCCTGCCAAGCCAGTCATCTTTTATATGACTGAATTCCACACTCCAGACTTAAGCAAAATAGCATCTGCTCCAGCAAACTGCCCAGACCCGAGTAGTGTTCCCATGGAAACTGGTCAGATGAGATTACAGAAAAGACATTTAGTACATGTCTGCTCCGACCTCTAATTTTCTAGTTTCTGTCATTCCAACTATTTCATCACCAAATATCCTTCCTATTGATGAAAATACAGGACCTACCTCTCTACTTTCCAAAAATGTGTATTGATCAGGAATTGGTGGCAAAAAAACATTGGTGCTTATAATTTTGGGCATTTGTGCTGCTGTAGGAAAGGCATTTTAATGTAACACTGACTCAGTACAGTGAAACCTCGGACATACACAGTATCAAGAGCAACACACACGACCCTGCTTCCCGCATTGTTGAGAACATACTAGAATGAAACACATTTTTGTTTTAAATATTTTTAAATTTTGTATACTTGTGTGTGTAGCATAACGTGTGGAATCAGGCCAACTTACAGGAGTCAGTTCTGTCTTGTGGGTCTCAGGGAGCAAACTCATCAAGCTTGGCCGCAAGCTCTTTTACCTTCCAAGTCATCTGAAAAGTCCCGTTTAGATACTTGAATTAGAATATTTCCAGAGCGTGTTTTAAACCACAAACTCTGCTCCCAATATACTTCACAATAGTTACTGTGCTGTGACACATTGATGACCTCAGAGACACTTTGAGGAAGTGGATCTGAAATGTTCTACAAATATTTATTAAAGAGTTGGTCGCCAGCTTGTGGCACTGTTGAG